AAACGAAAAAGTAAAGAGCAGATGCAGTTATTTTTAATTTTGTGAAAAATCCTCTCGACCAGAATATAATACAGCGAGCCGCGCGCCTCAGAACAACGCACATGCATCCCCCATCAAAAGCAATACAGAAACCACAGAGACGGCGACAAACTTATTACTGTGGCAAGTTGAGCGCGTCCGCCCCGCGTCCTGACCAGCGTGCGCAGTGGACAAAGATCTCGCCTGACGCCCCTTCCGATCGCGTCGCTGCGACCAAGGCGCATGGCGTCTGAGGTAGACCTAGACGCAGCCGATCGTGCACCGCCATCCGCTCGGGAGCCTGCTATCCCGGCCCTGCCCTGCCTGGCGGCATACTATCCCCCGCTCCTCCGCCTCCAGCGCGGCTAAAGCCGCGCTCAGAAGGAGCCCTTGGGCTGGAAGCCGGCGGGCCCGGCCTCGCCGCCGATGGCCGCCGCGGCGATCTTGTCGGCGCACGCCAGCCGGATCCGCTCGCTCGTGGCGGGCGAGTACATCTCGAGGTGCGCGTCGGCGGCGTCGGGGAAGTGCGAGGCGCGCGCCGCGCGCACCGCGTTGCGCACCTACCGCCACCAGCGCGCGCGTGAGGGTGCGGTGGGCGGCTCTGTGGCGTGCGGCCGCGAGCCGCGCGCGCCGCGAAGAAGACCGACGCGCCGAGGAAGAATGGCGGCTCTCCCACTGCCTTTGAGGAGTGCACCGCGACGGGGTTGTCTGCGCCGGAGAGGAGGCGCACGTTGAAGGTGCGCGGCGCGTCGTTGAAGGCGGGGAGCTTGTACCCGCCCGGGCCCGAGTTGAGTAGCTTGCCCTGCGGCCGCACCCACGGGTGCTGCTCGTCGCCCCAGATGAGCTCTTCGGTGGTGGTCCAGCCGGCGCCCTGCACAAAGGCGCCCTCGATCTGGCCGACGTCGAGCGCCGGGTTGATCGAGGAGCCGAGGTCGAGCAGCACGTCGGCGCGCAGGACGGCGTGGTCGCCGGTGAGGACGTCCACCTCCACCTCTGCCACGGCGCACCCCTGCGTGAAGTAGTTGAACGGGTGGCCGCGCGTCGTCTGGTCGGGCGTGCCGTCGGCGTGCTTGCCCGGCTGGATGGCCCAGTCGAAGCCGCACCGCTCGTCCGAGATGGAGAAGAAGCCGTGCGCGGAGAGGTCGATCCGGTCGAGCCACGCCGTCAGCGCGAGCTCCGCCAGCGACGCGCCCGGCCCGAGCTTGTTCCGCACCGGCTCGAGCCGCTTGAGGATCTTGCGGCACGCGTCGAGCGTCGCCATGCCGTACAGGTCGGTCGAGGCGGAGGCGGCGGTCGGGATCGAGTTCGCAACCTTGTCGGAGGCGCTCTCGGCGACGTGGCAGGCGGAGAGCGGCACGCCGAACGCCTTGGCCGCCACCTGGCACACCTTTGTGTGCAGGCCCTGCCCCATCTCGGTGCCGCCGTGCGTGATGAGCACCGTGCCGTCTGTGTAGACGTGCACGAGCGCGCCGCCCTGGTTCATGAACTTTGCGGTGAAGTTGATGCCGAACTTGGTGGGCAGCATGGCGACGCCGCGCTTGCGCCAGCGGTGCGCCGCGTTGAAGGCGGCCGCCGCCTCGCGCCGCGCCTCCACCTCGGCGCCCTCGCGCAGCTCTCGCCACGCACGCGGCACGCGCCACTCGCCGGCGCAGAGCACCTGCCCGAACGGGAGCGCGTCGCCCTCGGCGTACATGTTCGCCTCGCGGAGCGCGTCGGGCGGCACGCGCAGCTCCGTCGCGAGGTGCTCCAGGATGTGCTCGCACGCGATGAGGCCCTGCGGGCCGCCAAAGCCGCGGAAGGCCGTGTTCGGCGGCGTGTGGGTGCGGCAGACGACGCCACGCGCGCTGAAGGCGGGCCAGCGGTAGCAGTTGTCGAGGTGGAGGAGGGCGCGGTCCATCACGGGGCCGGAGAGGTCGAGGAAGGCGCCGCCGTTCGAGTAGAGCTGCGCCTTGAGGGCGGCGAGCTTGGGCACGCCCTCGCCGTCCCGCCTCGCCGCCGCCGTGTACTTGACCACGAACGGGTGCCGCCCGCCCGTGGTGCCCATGTCGACGTCGCGCCGCAGCGCGAGGCGGACGGGTGCGTTCACCTTGTAGGCGGCCGCCGCGCACACCGCCCCCAGGAAGGCGGTCCGCGTCTCCTGCACGCGGAAGCCGCCCCCCATCCGGGGGGGGGAAAGACCACCTTGGCGGCGGGCAGGTTGAGCAGCCGGGCGACCGTCTTGTGCGTCTTGTCGACGCCCTGCGGTGGGTGCGCCGCGCCGTCAGCGCCTCGGCTAGCCCCTCGGCTGTGCGCTCGGCCGTAGTCTCGGCATCACTTTACCCGCAGTGCTATCGAGTGTGCTCTCCAGCATGCCCTCGCCTGAGTCGAGGAGAGGACCGAGATGCCGCCGTCGTCTGTCGGCTCGGCGAGGCACGTCATCGGCTCGAGGTAAAAGTGCTCCTGCCCGCCCACGCGGAACTCGCCCGACACGACGGTCAGCCCCTCCTCGGCGAACGCCTCGTCGATGTCGCGGCCCGCCTCCAGGTCGTGCGCCGTCGTGATGCCGAGCGCGGCGCCGGTCCGAGACCACGACGTGCGCTCGTCGCCGCGCGTGCCGTCGAAGAAGGATCCCGCCGCCACCGCGGCATCGATGGTGTAGATGGGGGGCTCCCACGGGTCGCCGTACTCGACGGCGACCGCCTCCGCCGCCGCGCGAGCCGCCTCGATCGAGTCGGCCACCGCCACGCCAATCACCTGCGTCAGGGCGCAGCCTCGGGCCATCTCGGGCCATCTCGGGCCATCTCGGGCCATCTCGGGCCATCTCGGGCCATCTCGACTCGTCTCAGCCCGTCTCTGTCCCTCTCGGCTCATCTCTGTTGAGGGCGGCTGATGTCTCGCCGGGCATCAGCTGATGTCTCGCCTGCCCCACGTGCGAGGCGTGCCCGTCCGCGAAGCACTCCTCATCCTTTGCGACCGGACCGAGCGCATTCTGCCCGCCGGGCGGGAGGTCGGAGGCGAAGATGACGTCCGCCACGCCCGGCATCGCGCGCGCAGCCGCGGCGTCGATGCGCAGGATTGAAGCGGGCGCCACCGTCGCCCGAACCAGCCACGCGTGCAGCATGCCAGCGGGAGGGCGGACCTGTGAGCAACCGCGGGCGGCGCTGGGCACGTAGGCGGGCGGCGTGTCGCAAGTGCGCCTCCATGTGCGAGTGGGCTGGCGGGTGGACGCACGTCGTCCGTGTACTCGGCCTCGCCGGTCGTGTGGAGCCGGCCGGCCGCGTGCGGGTGCGACTCCCCGACGACACGCACGCGATCCGAGTCGGCGCCTGCGGGTCGTGTCATGGGACAGGTCAAGGACACCGTCCAGGAAAACGCTGACGCTGTGCGAGGAAACGCGCCGCTCGAGCCCTTCGGCGCGAGACCGCCGTCGCCGCCGCGCCGCGCCTCCTTCTCCGACGCGGTGGGCGGCTCGATGGCGCGCGGCCCCTCGATGCCCCACGCCGTCTTGCCGCCCGGAGACTGCGACTCGAGGCCGGGGTAGGACGCGTGCGGGAACCGCTGCTCGCCGCCCGAAGCCGGCTTTGGCTCCTCGAGCCACGACACCGATCGCGGAAGTTTCCTCCCTCCAAAACGAGGGGGTGCCTGAATCCATCCCGGTGTGCGCTTCCTTCCTTTGTTCGATCCCCTAAATTCCTCGACCAATCACATTTGGAGGATTCATCTACAACGCCTTCTTGCCGTGTTCTGTAACTAAATCTTCTTCTCACTTTTTTCCTATCATTTAGTGCTCACTCGAAGGTTCTCTTCTCACTCTCTCTGCCTATCCCCCATGCTTTATAACTTCTTTCTTCTT